AAAAAGGGTGGGCAGAGGTGTAGTTCTTCCTTCTTGTAATGTGCTGTCATTTCTGAGTCGCCCGCTGCGTTTTTTGGGGTATACAGAGGAGGAATAGATGGAATAGTAGTCGGCGCGGGAAAGGAGAGGGGAGAGCAGAAGGACATGGAGACCATCACTGCCTTTTCTCCTCCTTTCTAGCTCTGGTTTTCGTGCGTACGGCACATTGAGATTCTGTTTTTCTGAGGTAGTAAGATGTGTGGAGAATGGCTGGCTTTCTCCTGAAAGGATTTCACGTGTATCAGCATCCTGTCCCAAGTTCTGGTTTATGTACCATATTATCATTACCATAGGTAGGATAGCTAAGTTATAGCCGCAGGTCCTGTAGGTCCAACAGGCCCAGTTTGTCTACCAGTCCAGTCGGTCAGTCCACTCAGCAGCTCAGTCCCAGTAAATGCGTTGAAGCGTGGTATACTTCACCTTGTCCAAGTCAAGATGTCATCTCTGCCACATTCTTTTGGGAGGACCAGGGGGAGAGGAGGGCCATGATCCCACAATTCAAACAGCACCTCACTTCACACTGATGAGACAATTCAGCACACCAAGCTCGCACAAGAGATGAAATCCAACATGAGATATAAGACTTCCACAATGCATTGCATGCATGCAGTCTGGCAGCTATGCCCGCAACAAGCACAAAAACCAAGAATGAACTTGCTCGCTCACATCCATCTACTTATACGTTCTGTTTTTCTTTTTCTTTTCCAATTTTGTTTTGTCGGTGAAGAAGCAAAGAGGTCATCAACCCCTCTACTAACTACATAAAATTACCACAAAAGTACAGATATGTAGTTGGGTTGGAGGTCTGGCAGGCTCTGCTGGGCTGCTCAGCTTCAGATCCGGCTGTCTGGAACGGATGTTTTTCTGATTGAGAAGCTTCAAATTTGTCATACAATTGAATGTCTAATTCAGGGGGAACAATTTCACGCAAGCGGTTAAACACCCACTGCCTCCTTCAAAATCGGGCCAACCCCTGCAGACATGAAACAAAAAGGAAGATATGGTGACTGCTGGACCAACTGAAAAAGTATGGACCTCCTCAGAAGCAGGGCTGTTGCACAACATGCGAGGAGTGCACACCAACTACTCTATCCCCAAACATAATGGCCAGAAATTGCACTTGAATCTGTCCTAAAATTTTCATTCTCAAATACAGCTATAGCCTATAAGGACTGGGTGCAGTGTTCAGGGAAATCACGCGGATTGGGTCAGCCTTTCAAAAACCAGTCCCACACTGCCTCACCTGGCGCAGCAACGTGAGCAGCTCTCCTTTCTCACAAAGTTCCGTGACAAGGTATCTGCAGGAAGCAGAAACAATCATTTGGAAAATTTTGAACCAATTCTTTATGACAAGCAAGAAGCGATCGAAGTTTGAACTTTTAATGATTCCCAAATCATACACAACTAACCTACCATGAAAGCCAGCACTGAAAACTCAAAAAGAACAAACAAACTCGGTTCTTCAAAACGTGCACCTCTCTTGCTGCTGAATCGGTCCACGCATGCAACTGATTTATAAATGGATGATAACAAGACAAATAAGGCAAGGCGCTACCCCTTTAAATTTTGAAAACTAGAAGGCTCAAAGCATGGATGCTACCCCTTCAAATTTTGGAAAACAAAAAGGTCCAAAGTATGGATACTACGGCATTACTACCATACATGCCGCGCATCGGCAGGCGCTGCAGTGCGCACATGCGCCGCACCGTGCAGCGTGCATGATGCGAGCGCATGCCATGCGGCACACAGGCAAATCGAGGGGTCCAAAAAAAAAAACGAAAGTTGGGGGGGGGGGGTTGCATTCCCTCCCTCGTTAACCATCTCTCTATCTCCCTCCGTCTTTGTCCTCCCCTTCCCTTCATGCCCAAGCGCACCATGTGCGCAAATGCGCGCGGCACGCGCACGCCCCGGCGCACTGGCGCACTGCGCATCCAAGTGCCGCGCAGCGCATCCCGCATTGCGCACTGCGCATCGATACTCCTGGGTGGTTGGGCAGGCCTAACTAATTCGGTCCCAGGCCACTGTCTGAATGAGCCTGAGCACAGAAGCTACTGGAAACACACGAGGCCCAGCCAGACAGCAAACTGGGCGAGCACTTTCCATAAAGGAAAGAGCTCGCCACTGGTGGGCTCATTCAGGCACTAGGCAGCACATGCGGCAGCGCTGCTTGAGCGTGCGCTCGCGGGCTGTGCACTGTGCGCTAGCGCTAGTTGCCAGGCAGTGTGCACGTGAAGAGGGCAGGGCGCTGCTGAGGGCAGTGCCATAGCCAGCCCTACATAGCCCAGGTTTGGCTTGGACAGCCAGTGGAGGTGGTGGTGGTCTTCGTGGATGCGGGAGAAAACGTGGGAGGAAGACAAGGACAGGGAGAGAGTGGGAGAGATGAGGATGATGATGTGAGGGCGCATACCTGGTATTGGCGATGGTCTGCATTGGTCGACATTTTCAAGTACTTCGGTGGCTGCTGACGTCAACAGTTGCATTGTCAATTCGTAGGCAGGAAGTAGCTGTGTAGGGAGTAGCCTGGGCGCCGAGCACCAAGTAGGGAGATAGGGCCTGGATACGGATGCTGGTGGGGACGAGAGTAAGCTCTCATTGACATTCGGTTTTGGTGTTTTGATTCTCCATTGGTGTACTATTGGTGCAATGCTGCTTTCTGGACACTGTGGGACTTCCTTGCTTTCAATGTGATTGTGCTATCTGGATTCTGTCATCTCGCTACTGCTCATTTTCCCTGCAGAAGAGGGGGGGGAAGGGGGGTATAAATTGGTTTTAGAGGGGCTAAATACGTTTAGAGTGGGGTGCCCTAGAGTGATTCCGTTATTTTCTTTTCCATCTCGGATTCTGTGAGGAATTCTGACGTGACCCTCAGCCAAAAGTCGTTTGCATTGCAATTCTACACAACATAATTTTTTCCCCTTTTTTTTTTCTTTTCTTTTCTTTTTGTGGTTAGCCTGCCCGGGACCCTGCCCCGGGGTCATTCCCGGATGGGCACCCAGGCGTGTTTCTGGGCACAAAATATTCATCCGATTCCATCAGGATTTAAAGTCATCAGCTGTTTGCTAATGGTTGGACTGTGCAGCTACAGAAAACAAATGAAAGCAACTATAAACTGTGCACCGATGCAACAACCGTAATTGCACCTTTGCCTATAGTTTCTCACAATCATTGGTACAAGGTGCTATCACTGCATAAGAGCAAAGCAGACTGTGAGATGGCATGTCAAACACCACACACTAGCGAAGAAATAAAATGACACTGAACAGTCCGGAGTCAGCTTTACTGGTCTGTCTGGGTCGTGTTCTGCAGCTTCCACGAGGGTGAGTGCAGAAAAGCGCATCCAGTAGGTCACACACCATGCAAAGAAGACGGCTAGTATTGTGCAAGAACATGGCAAGAACTGAAAGACAAGAGCACTGAGCAGTATAATAGAAGTCGAGATCTTACTAGGGGAGAAGTCGAAGGATTGGTAAAGGGGGATGACCAGCTGTGGGGGATGACCAGCTCTGCCTGGTGGCATTTCAAGAAGCACTGACAGACCAAGTGGCATTTCAAGAGGCACTGACAGACCTGCTGGCATTTCAAGAGGCACTGACAGACCTGGCAGTCAATCCTTACATAAGAAGCAATCAAATTTGAGCAGCAATCAATGTCACAGTCTCAGGCTCTTTGTCCACAATGGAAAGAAAAGTAGAGCGAGTGCTTTTGATGCAAGGGACGCTGGACCCGGTTTCCAGCTTTCTTTTAAAAACATATTTGACAGTCCAGATGCGACAGAGGCCCTAGGAATCAGAAAAAGGGCAGTCACTGAGTCGCATACTTGAGGTACTTCTCTTGACGCGGACCAAAATAGTCTCTGCTCTAGGTTCACAAGCATATCAGACAGCCAAAACAGCTGAGAGGAGCAATTATAGGTGACTACTCTGCAGAGCATCGAGGGCAAACTTTGGACTGGACAAGAAGAACCTAAGACCAGTAGGACTTTGAGATAGGACCAAGAAGGCTACCTTAGGCAGGAGTGAGAGAAGGCTACCTTCCTATTGGAAGTAATCAATGCCACCCGCTGGGATCGCCCAACCATAATAGGGACGAGCATTGGAGTGCGTACATGATGTCTTCCCCTTGACTTGCTGGTAGAATAGGAACTGGACTGATGCTCCCCAGAATGGATATGGAGTAAAAGAAAGAGGGGGGAGCTATGCTACCAAAGTCGCCCAGCCCGGGCGACCCGGGCAAACTTGCACGGGGGGTGATACCAAAAACGGGGTTAATTTTTTTTCTTCTTTTTTTTTTGGGAATGAGACAATTTTGCGCCCACTCAGACGTGCCCAAATCCACCTTGATCTTTGAGTTTGGTGAAATCGCACCAAAGGGTGTCTATGGGGTATAAGCGGGGGGGTTCGAAAGGGCTCCCAGGGGATTATAGGGGCGTAGACAGTGTAAAGGGGTATGATATAACTTAGTTTTTTCTTCTAATTCTTAATTTTCATTTCAGATTCGATTGTGAATTTTGTGGTCACCCTCAGGCAAAATATGCCTACAATTAGCGGTAGGTAGGTAATGTGAGGTGAAATTGAGAGAAGAGTATAGCTTTTAATATAGAAAAAAGATGTTTGGTTTGCAATTCTGCATGACATAGTTTTCTTTCAGATTTTTTTTGTATTTTTTATTTTTTTTGCGCTGAGATTGCACAGGACCTTGACTGGGACTTTGCCCGCACCTGGCCCGCCCGGGCAACCTGGGACACCCGGCCGGTTATTTATGAAAAAAAAAAAAGATAAGCAACTGGGTGGGATTCGTAGGAACTTAGGAAGGGATGGATGGGTATGATCATACACACGGGAAACATCTTCAAAGTACTCATAAAGCTCGACAACATGCGGATGACGCAGCTGGCAATGGATCTCAACTTCTCTCACAACATGTTCGAGCATAGTTTTGGTTTGGAGAATTTCCTTGCGAATCTGCGCACACGCCATCCATCACAAGGGCAAAAATTAGCAAACCGATCTCTACATCCCATTTTTTCCCCCCCATAAACAGGTCCTTATGGTCCTGGCTCCATATCCATTCTGGGGAGCCTCAGTCCACTTCCTATTCCACCGGGAAGTCAGAACAAAAGTATTACATCATTGCTTCTATAATTCTTCATATTGCTAAACACCAGATCCCATACATCCCTTTCTCTATTCTTTTTTCGGGAAAACAGGGGAAAACTCAGGAAATCCAATTTAAAGCATGGAGCAAACAGGTCAGTGTAACGAACCCAGTCTGGCAGATACTCAGAAGTCGTCAAACATCAGCAGTCTCATTATCTGCATCAAAGTCTCCAAATGGTGAAGTGATATCTCAAACAGTATCTCATTACCATCAAAAGAAGAGAGTGGAGGGGGAACAGACACAGGAGAAGATGAAAGATCACACAGTAATAATCCCTTCAGACTCCTCTCCTTCTCCGGGCTTCTTCCCTCTCCACGTCAACAATGATAATAATGTTACGATCCTGGCCAATTTCGAAGTATCCATTTATCAGGAAGTACAATGCCATCCAATTGCAAAAAGAAATGAATGAACTTGAGAGGAGAGAGAGGGAAAGAAGAAGAAGAAGAAGTAAGAAAGAAGAAGAAGATGATGTACTCCAGCATAGACCAATGACAAGGCTCTTCTCCCTCCCCTCTTTTTTTTTAAAAACAGGTCCTTATGGCCCTGGCTTCATTTCCATTCTGGGGAGCATCAGTCCGGTTCCTTTTCCACCGGCAAGTCAGGAAAATAATTACATCAAAGAACACCCTCACGCTTCCTTCCGTCTGGCCGAAGGAACCCTGATCAGCATTGATTACTCCAWCATYGTGGAGGATTGACTGTCAGCTTGCCTTGCTTCCATCTTCCCTCTCAGGACTACTAAAGGAGCCTGTCAGATACAACATGACTAGYAAGAAAGGACTGAGAAGCTGTGGCTGCTGCCAACTCCGTCTAAAAACCTAAAACCCCGCTGCTGATCTCCATGAGATTYCTAACCTTGTAGACCCTGTYTGTCTTTGTTCCTGTCAAAACGAAAGCCTCAACCCTGARMCCTAAACCCTAGGCACGATTGATYCTTTGCATCTTATCCATGAGAGACAACAGGCTGTTGCCTGCCGTGCGTAAGTCTTGGCTGCTCTTCTGGGCCCATAATGGAGTACCTCCTTCCGCCTGAAGTCGACCCCTGAGGTCTTCTGTGATATATCTCATGTGAACCATCSGCTGCAGTCTGTCCCGCGTGTATCTTGGATGTTCTTCTAGGCCCAAATTGGAGTTGGCTCTTCTTGAATCTGGGTACTCTGCTGGGAAACAGAATTGACCGAGTTATGCCACTCTTTCCATCTTAAAACCTGCCCACTTAGCCATGCCACTTTTTCCCCTACCAACCAGASCCGTTTGAATTTGGCCARAGTCACCTGTTCTGACTCTGGAYTGTTCTGCACCCACAGTTTGACCTTCCTCCAATGACAGCGGATTTCTGCTTCAATCATCTCTTTGGTCGCTGCCCATACTTTCYCCCGCGGGTTCTTCGTGTTGTCCAGAGTTCTGCTGCATCTCTCTTTCCATATGGCCCATAGTGTGACCTTGCGTATCAACCCGAACCAGACTTTCTCTGGCTTACCAAAATTAGAKGGTAAATTAGTCCAGAGGAGCAGTTGTAGGGGATGTTCCGGGAGGGGAGATGGGAAAAGACTGTCCCAAAGGGCTGCTGCTCTTGCCCAATAATMTGTGGCTTCTTTACAGTTGATTAGGCAGTGTATCAGATCTTCCTGTTCCTGGTCTGAGCAGACTGTGCAGACACCCRAGCTGGTTGGATTGTTCTTTTTCCTTCTCACRTGTAGCCACTGGTTAACCGGTAGTKCCACGTATGTTATGAGCYACTRYATGCTTCTGATTTTTATGGGTCTTATCGTTTTATATTTCTTCCAAGGAATTTTTGCTATCTGGTCTGCCTCAGAACCAATTAGCWTGCACCATCTTCCTTTGATTATTGGGTCTGGGTCTTTTGTTTTYAACARCATTTTATACCCYAGTTTAAMTGTATAATCAGATATTGRGATTGGTGGTTTTGTAGTTCTGTTTCTGTCAGAGGGCCATGCCCATTCTGAGGGATCGAACTCGAGGYCTTGAATTGCTGTCCCTATTTGAAATATCTGTTTTGGCCAGAGTCCTAATGTTCTTATTTTACGAAGCGTGAACGCATTCAGAACTTCTCTTTCGGGATTGATATTCTGGATGTAMGGTTCGTCTGGCTTAGTCTTCACTATCGGGAAGGATGTGAATACGTCTCTTGGATTTGAACCAGATATTCGATGGGAGAATTGGTAGGCCCTCTGAGGGGAGGTGTCCTGGATTGGGATTCCCCACTCACCCGCTTTCCACGTGAATTCCTCCTTTAGCAGCTCGATCCAGCCCCCCGGGATGCTYTGTATAATCTTTTGCAGATTTTCATCCCTGTGGTGGCAGCCTTTCAGACGGGCTTTGAGCTCATTTTCGTCCAGCCAGTTCTTCCTTTCGTCGTTCCATATGTCCCCTACTSGCMAGATCCCRTGTGTGATCCAAGATAGCCATCTGTTGCTTCTGTGGGAGAGAGTCCACGGGTGGTCTCCCTCGTCCCTGATCCAKGGGTTGCCAAAGAGAGGTTGCCTGAGCACTTCTTCTTTGGACCTGGGTTTGTTTCGTTTCTCGGGCATGATCTCTCTCCAGATGCGTAGAAGGGCTGTCCAATAGGGAGGAGGTGCTTGGTTAGGAGTTGGGGGGGTGCGAGTATTGAGTCTTCTCCTCCCTGATCTTGGATTCCAGTCTTTATTCATGATCCAGAACAGTCCGGACATGTTAGTGGGGGACTCYGTTGGAGCCAGGTTCCTGATGCTGTCTAGTGCTAGTTTGTTCCACGRCAGTGCTTGTTTAGTCAGCAGCTWAATGACCCACYTAATTTGCAGGGCTTTCGTTTCTTGTTTGGGGTSAATAATGCCTAATCCCCCTTCTGTTGGTTTTCTTGTGATAAAGTGCCAAGCTATCTKTGGAATGTAGTTTTCTTTGTTGGGGTTCCCTGACCATAAGTAMGCTCTGGCTTTCTTGTTCAGATCTTTGATGGTCTGGTCTSGTRTAGTCCAGATTGAAGCTATGTACCACATCATTGAGAAGATGGACGTGTTAATGRTAAGTGCCYTACCCAGTAGTGACRTAAATGATTGACTCCACTTCCCCRTTTTGTTGATTTGACCGGCTAGGAGATTCTGTGCCATCTGGGGGGCGGRGCCGTCCTTTGTCACTTGGATCCCCAGGTATCTTGTTGGTATCTCCRGTCTCTCCCAGGACATCTGGTTCTCTGGTCCTTGAAGTAGTGGGACGGGTTCGTCAGACAACCACCATCCTATCGTCTTTTCCCAATTTATCTTCATTTCTGATGYCAGTCTGAATGCTTCCATTGCTCTGACTAAGGCTGCCATTGACGAGTTGGAGGCTCGTATCAACACCGTTAAATCATCTGCGAACATGATTACTGTAGGAAATACGACGTGGTGTGCGGAGCCCACATTCATTTCAGGCAGTCTTCGGATAGATGGATCTTTACGGAGAAAAGAAGCTATGGCTTCCATAACGAATAGGAAAATAGGCGGTGCTAACGGATCGCCCTGTCTTACTGATCTGGAGATAGGGTAGCCTTCGGACAACAAACCATTGATTTGAACACAGCCTGAGGCRTTGCTGTATAGGATTCGGACCCATTTCCTGAAGTTGGGACCTACCCCCATTTTTTCCATACTCGCTTCGAGGAAGTCCCAATTTACCTGATCGTAGGCCTTTTCGAAACCGAGGAAAAGAATCGCTGTGCTGATCTTTTTCTCCATCACTTTCTTGGATGCCTCGTTAAGGGTCATTACATTGTCAAGGATGTACCTGCCTGGTATGAAACCCGACTGGTCTATGTGGAAGCATTTGTCTGTTATGTCCAATATGCGGAAGGCTAGGGCCTTGGGCGGGAATTTTATAGGGAAGTGTGAGTAGGGATATTGGTCTGTAATTCTTGATGTCTTCCCGGTCACCCTTCTTGTAAACAAGTGTAACCACACTGGTACTGAGGAATTCGCCCATACCCTCTTTCTCCCAGCTGTCGTTGTAGAAATCCATAAGGTTCGAACCCATTAGGGGCCAAAATTTCACCCAAAATTCCTTTGTTAGTCCGTCGATGCCTGGGGTCTTATTGTTGTTCATGTTCTGGACCGCGAACTGTAGCTCTTCTATGGATAACGGTTGATCCAATTTGTTAGCTTGATCTTCAGATATTGTCTTTTCTAGGTATTGTAACATTTTTGACCTTGTCGCTCGGGTATTGGAGGGGGTGATTGTTGGTGTTTTAGATCGATCCAGTTCGTTATAAAAGTTCTTTGCAATCTCTAGCATCCCTTCACTATCTGTGCGAGTTGCCTGTTGGCCTGTCAACTCTTTAAGACCCTCTATTGAGCTGGATCTGTTGTTTGCCTTTATTCTGGCAAAGAAATGTTTGGACATCTGTTCATTTAGTTCCAGGTCGGTCATTCTGGCTCTAATCTGGAGTCCTTTCAGTTCCCACTGATGCCATACAGCCAGTTCTTCTCTTGTCCTTTCTAGTACTTCTGTGTACATTGGCGAGGATGGGTTGGTGGCCAAGTTTTTTTCCGCTACTCCGAGGGTCGTTTCCAGCATCAATTTCCTCCGTTTCCTGTCGTTGGCCATTTTCCTTGATATTATAGCGGTTGTTTCAGCTAGCTTGAGGTAGCTTTTTTGGAACCAGTCCCACCTGTCTTGACGTGTGACAAAGCTTCCTCTGAGATTGTGCCAGCTCGTCGACATCCCTTCATGAAATTCTTGACTAAGTAGGAGCGAGTTATTCAGTTTGTGGAAACTGCGTCCCTTTTGGATATATTGGTCGAAACTAATGATCAGCTCAATAGGTTTA